TATAAAAACCTATTTATATTTAATTCCCATCATTTATACTTTTAAATGAAATTTTAAAAATATAAAGTTTATTTTTGCATTATATTTAATAATATTTAGTAATCCTTAATATATATTAATTTAAAGTATTTATAGTATTTACTATACAATCTTTATAAATATAAATTTTAAAAATTTCACTCCTTAAAAAGCAATAACTTAATTCATAATATAAAGAACTAAACATTTACTTAAATATATTATATTAATTAAAATTTCATAATTAAATTTATAATTATTATATAACATAAACTTAAAACGCCTAAGTGCAAATTTATTTATTTAATAATAATAATATATTTTCTTAATCTTTATTATTACTTATTTATTAATATTTAAATTACCGGCTTTTTTAAGTATTTAACATAATTAATCTATTAATAAATATTTAAAACAATGGTAAAGTTTCCTTATTTTTATCTTTAAAAGGAAATATATAGTATTAATAGTTTAATTTAAGAAAAACCATGGGTAACCTTATTTTTTAAGTATTAATATAATAATTACACTATTAAAGGAAATTATTTTATTTATAATATTATTATAATATACTTAAAGTCTATCCATATTTATTAAGTAAAGTAGGAATAAGGTTTATACTTAAATAATATAAAAGTTAATATAATTAATTAAGGTGGAAATTTTCATTATGCTAAGTAAATTAATAATTATTTTATTACTAAATTTAACTTTAGCTTTTCTTATAGCAATTATATTAATTTAATACTTTAAGTTTTTTTATTATAATGTAAGAAATTGCTTATATTTAGCTATAAATACTAATAATGCTCTTATATTTAATAGGATTTCTTAAAAATAAGTTTAATTATATTTATTTTTTAAGATGAATTAACTAATTATAATAATTATCTTTATTTAAAAAACATTGTTTTTTATAATTTAGTGTATAAATACTTTATTAGCCAGGAAATTAATATTTATATAATAAACCTTTTTATTAAGTCCTACCTTTATAATATAAGTATTATTATTATAATTATTATCTTAATCCTATTTATTTTTATATTTATAAAATTTATTTTTATTATTTATCTTATATTCTTTAAACTTATTTAAAAAAGTATTAAAGTTATTATTATAATCTTTATATTTATATTATATTAAGTAGCTTCTTTTTATTAAATATTATTTATTAGTTAAATGTTTAGTTAATTAGCATCCTTCCTTTTTATAAATATAATATCTTTTCTTTTAGAATTATTCTCCTCCTCCTTTTTTGTAAGCATTATTACTTTAAGCTTTATAATTAATGTCATAAGATCTTAATTACTTAAAGCTTAAATAGCTTAAATTTAATTAGCTAAATCTTTAATTTTCTTAAAACGCTTAAAACTATAATTATTATCCTTTTTTTAGCTTTTAATTATTATACTTATAATTAATATAATATTAATTTAAGACTTTATTTATAATATAAATTATAATTATATAACTAAGTTATATTTTTATTGCAAATCTTAAATTTAAAAATAATTCTTTATATAATTAAGCTAGCTTAAAAAAAGCTATTTTTAGCTTAGGAACTTCTTTATAAGCTTTAATTATTATTATTCTTAAGTTATCCTTCTTAGCATAATTTTAGCTTAATACCCATTAATAAAGTTATAGCTTATTAAATATTAAATATAAAACCTTATATAAGTCTTTATTTAAATTTTATATTCTTATCTTTATAAATATTATTATTATTTAATTTATATAATAATATTAATAATTAAGATTTATATTAAAATATATTTTAATTTTAAAATACGTTATTATAAATATATTAATTTAATTTATAAAATAAAGATAATAAGCCTTAGCTTAATCTTTAAGCATTTAAAAAAAAACTATATAAAATTAACTTAGCTAAATTTTAATATAATAATAAATATTAAAAAATATCTTTATCTTATTATTTAGCAAGTTATATAAATCCTTAATATACTTATAAAAGTTATTAAAGGTTTTTATAAACTATATTAATTTTATTAAATTTAAGCATTTATTAAAAATATATTATAAGGAAAGAGTTTTATATAAGTTATACTTTTTATTTAGCAAAGATATTTTTAAGGCAGCTTAAGGTTATGCTAAGTATAATATATATTTTTAATATAAGCTTTATTTCCATTTTTCCGTTAATAATAATAAGCCTTATTAGCTATATTAGTTTTTAATGAATTATATTATTAAGTTTAAGTTTTATAATTATGCACTTAAAGTTAATAGCGGCGGTAAATATTATCCTAGAAATTACCCTTTTAGCAATTATTATTATTTAAAGCTTACTTATAATTCTTATAAAGGCTATACTTATAATTGCTATCTTTAAAATTATATATAATATTTATTTATGCTTAATTCTAGGGCTAATAAGGTATTGCAAAGCTTATTATTAATTTATTTTAATCTTTCCTTAACTTAAGCTATGGTAATTAATTATAATATTATAAGTTAATTATTGCATTTTATATAAATACCTTGCATTTAAAGAAAAACTTTTAAGCATTATTAATAAGAATTTAGTAATGCTTTAAATATTGCCTATATTTACATTATATAATCCTCGCAATAAGTAATGAAAAGATCATTATTATAAAGATTTTATTATATATAGCTTGCTAAAGTACTTGTTAAGTAAGTAATTAAATATTTTATTAATGCTCCCTATATAAGGGCTATAAACTACAATTTTAGGTTAATATATCCATAATAGGCCAAATTAATCAGAGTTTAAGCAAGCATTTTATTAACCATATACCCTTTAATAAAAGCCAATAGCTCCTTAACGTTATTAACCATTCTTACAGATTTTTATAGCAAATATTGTAAGAAATGAGATTAATAAAACAAAGAAATGTTAATAAAATAGATAATATTTAGGAGCAAGTTAATAATAATAATTTAATAAAAAACAAGTTATAGTTATTAAGAAGAAGAAATTATCGGCTCCTTTAAGCCTTGGAAGCTAGGGCTTTCTCCCATTATTAAGTCCTTCCATATTAATTAAAAGTATAATATATAACTTGCGCTTGCTTATAACATAATATTATATTAACTCTAGTAATTATAATAATTGCAAGCTTTATTTATTAATAAAACGGAGCTTTATTAAGTTCTGCTAAGTTTTAAAGAGGAATTAAAGATAAGTTTATAATAAGTTTATTTTTAATAGAATTTTATGCATTATAGATGCGTATCTCCCAGATGGCGATGAATATGCATATAAATATTGCAGGGAATGCCACTTAATTTATTTAATCTTTGCAATATTTGCTTAGGGAGTTTAATAATGCAAGGAGGCTTAAAGAAGCAATTATTGCTATATAACGCTTACTAATAAAGAGGATATAATTTTCAAGTTAAGGAAATCCTCATGGGGTTGCTTTTTTTACCTTGTTAATCTATAGTGCTTATAACTACTAATTAGTATTAATAGGTTTCTTATACATATGATAATTATATGGGAAGCAATTGTGTATTAGTGTTATTCTATCTAAGTTCTGAGAGGCTACGTGCCCCGTAGGGAATAACTAAAGTAGCCTCCTAATAGCGAGGGTCGTACTTGCCAACAGAGAGACTTTCCCTGTTGCAAAATCCGTCTCCGGGCCCTTGGCTCCGTGTGCACCGCTCAGTGGTGATGAATGAGGAAGTGCCGACATTTTGGCCGTGGTAGTGAGCTATGATAGATGATACTATGGCGGCCAAATATTACAATGCGTTTGGCTCTAGTAAAAGAGTACTGCAGTGGAGCCAAGCATGTGTGAAGATTTGACAGAGATAAAAGAGGGGTTCAGCCCATTATCCTGACAAAAGCAGACAGATGATAAATGCTCCAACGATTCACAAATCCGAGTATACGTTGCTATTCACTCTCTCTTCCGTGTTAAACTGAATAACTTCTCATGAGGATATTGATTTGCATGTATTCACATGATAGAGGGAACACGGATGTATTTCACCATCTGGCCTTCTCACGATAGTCAAGATGACCAGATTTGATGCAAAATTTGCTACTCAAAAGCCATCAAGAGTGATTTAGCATGACTGCGTGCCAATCTGCGTTTCTTGGGGGATTCAGGGGTGAGACTGTTGAAACTCAGCTGGCGATTCTAGGTTGGCTGCATCTTGTGTGCCTACGTCGAGCAGATCAACATCAGAATAGCTCACTGATGTTTGCATCTCTCAACTGTGGGCAATGCATGGCACTCACCGCGGTAACGGGGCCAGTCGTCTACGTGCTCTGTTTCCGCTGTGCAACCACATTCCAACTAGCAACCACTCAGACGCATCAGACAGCGGGCCGCTGATAGGGTCGGCAAAGCCCCGCCCAAGCCTTGGGAGTACGACCACGATGGCTTACTGAGCACAAGAGAAGATGACTTCAGCTCACCAAAACAGGCAAGAATTGACAACGCACATATTGCTACACGTCGGGAGTATAAGCAGCGGGAACGCCGCTTCGAAACGAAGCCTCCGCCAAGACTGAGAAGAACGGTGTGCACTGAAACATACTTCTCCTGGCAAGCCATGCAACCTCTTCATGATGACACAAATTACACCCTACTTTGTTCTGGAGCTCGGCAATTAGTATCGAGTCTTGTCTTATTGGAAGCCACATCTCGGTGGCTTTTACTAACCCTGTGCCATAAGGCCTCAATTTGATAAGCGAGAACAGCTCAAATGCAAGCTATCGGACCGTCGTTTAGGTCACATGTGATCTATACGCTGTATAATTCCATTCGTGAGACAAGGCTCTTCACCGTAGTAATGTAGACCGCCATGATATGTACCGTGCAGCTAGCAAAGCAAGCAGTATATATATGAGGTGGTGTTTCCTTTCTCTTTGCTTGCACAACACGCAGCTCTCATCGAGAATACTTTCCATCTTAAAACAAATTCAGAAAGTAATTACTCACCCTACGTCTTCCCACTCCCAAGTGGCAACCACAATAATGTCTTCTATGGATCGAGGAAAACTTCTTCTCCGCTCTTGGGACCAAGGTCTGATCGCGCAGGAGCTCAGCAAGCACAAGCTCATTCCGCGGAAGTTATCTCCAGAGGCTGTGAAAGCTGCACAGGGTCTCGTCGTCCCCAACACCACCCCGGAGAGCAAACTCTCAACGGGCACCTTCTCAGGAACATCCAAGGCCTTGACCCAGGTCTTCAAGAGCATCGAAGACAGGTGAGTGCAGAACAACGTCAAGCTCCTGATTCCGGTCTGAGACTGACAATTCGGAGATTCCACTCTTATTTTGATGTCACTGGCATTGAGCCATCCATTCCGCAAGGAACGAACCGTGAGGATGCCGTGAGCATCTATAACTGGTCTCCCAAGGATGGCACAAAGGCCGACCGCTATCCACCCCATCTGGACCTGATCCCGTCGACCGATGAGGTGCCCATCTACAAGATCTTTGACGCTATGCGTCTCCTTGTGAGCTATATTTTCTATGTCTACTTCCTGAAATTGGTATTGTATTAAAAATGCATTTCTTGGTGCTCTGCTGAATGGACTACCTCCATAACTTTTTCGACCTGGTGAGGCTATCTGATTGAAGCAACCAAGACAGTCGGAGTCCAGGCATTCAGTAGAGCACAATTAACACAGCACCTTCCACTGAATCAAATTTCTCTTTGAGCTGTAGCTAACTGAAACTCAACAGGATACGGGATTCGTGCTGCTCTCCGTGGTTCCAGACTCGATCAAGGACTTCACGTACAGCTATCCTGACCAAGGCGCCACGATGGCCGACATTGACAAGCGCAACGCCACGCTCAGGGCCGAGAAGAAGAACATCCTCAGCGAGCCCAACATTGGCGATCTCAAGATCCACAAATGGTATACTGATGAGATCTTTGCCCAACAGCAGTTCACAGGAACCAATCCAGTCACCATCCAGGTCGCGAGCGCCGCATGGGTCCAAGGTTTCACCGAAGCCGCGACCAGCCAAAAGCTGACTGAGCATGTCGCACTTCTCGACAGCGCCAGCAAGACCTCGTCGCTGTACGTCCAAGACTGCGGATACTACCGTTCTGTCCTAGGCGTGTCCGCAAATGCAGAGTTCAAGGCCGATAACACCCCAAAGGACAAACCTCGCTATGCCTCCTCCTCAGTGACGCTGTTCCATCTTACAGATTCGGGCAAGCTGCACCCTCTCGCAATTGTGGTCGACTTCAAGGGATCTATCGAGAAGTCCGTCACTATCTTCAACACACGCAAGAGCCCGGATGAGCAGACAGACCAGGCAAACGACTGGCCGTGGCGATACGCGAAGTCAGTTGCTCAGAGCTCGGACTGGCTGCAACACGAGCTCACCGTCCATTTGACAAATTGCCACCTCGTTGAGGAGGCCACCATCGTAAGTGGCTTTGGAAATAATCCCGCGCTCCTTGGCCTCAAGAGCGGCTGCTCTTATACGAGAGGCTTTCCAATCTCACAAGTTCTTTTACTGCTCTCAATACGCTTTCATGATTCAATGATTTGCGAACACCATGCTGATGTGAACCAGGTCGCCAGCAAGCGGGCATTTGCAACGAACCACCTCGTTTACCGATGCCTCCAGCCACACTGGCTCAAGACGCTCTCATTGAACGCCGCCGCCCGCGCGACCCTCGTACCAAGCGTCATCATACCAATCGTGGGCTTGTCAGGGTCTCAGACGTACAGCTTCATCCAGAAGGCCTATCACAACTTCGACTGGCAGGCCAACTATGTCCCAGCTGACCTCGAGCGGCGCGGCTTCCCGGTGAAGGACCTCCTGGACCAAAACAACGTCAAGTTCCACAACTACGCCTACGGTAAGCAGGTGCTGTTGATGTGGCAGGTTCTGCGCAAGTTCGTTGCTAGTTTCCTCGCCAACGGGGGCCAGGGCTTCGACATGGACGAGAAGGTGGCCGGGGATGCTGGCATCAAGCGCTGGTGCGACGAGATGCGCAGCGACGATGGAGGCCAGATGAAGAGTTGGCCAGTCATAGAGACTGTCGATCAGCTCGTTGACTGTGTCACCATGTGTGTCCGTACGTATAATATGGGTTCCCTCGCTGCTGGGAATTCGTTCACCCAAAGACACCACCTTGGTTTCGAGCAGTCAGGCTAATACGCCACAGATATCGCCTCGCCCCTGCACACGGCTGTCAACTACCTTCAGGAGTACTACCAGTCCTTCGTCGTCAACCGGGCACCCGCAGTCTGCGCGCCACTGCCGACCTCCCTGCAACAGCTCAAGGGCTTCAAGGAAAAGGACCTCATGAACTCGCTGCCGATCAACCGCCCCCAGGAGTGGCTTCTCGCGTCGCACCTGGTTCACCTGCTGAACTTCCGCGTCGCGGAGGACCAGAACATCCTCAACTACGCCGTCTCCCTGTACCACCTGAGTGCCCCCGGGACCGGCAGCGGCGAGACGCACATCCAAGGTGCGGCGAAGGCGCTGGTGGATGATCTGATCGAGCTAGGCGACACGAAGGACAACGTGGGCAACGTCATTCCGGGTGTGTTCTCCAAGATCAGTGAGGCTCTGGACAACAAGGAGCTGCCGTACGACGTGTTGCAGCCTGTTGATACGGCTGTGTCCATTTTGATTTAGAAGATGAGAACGGTGTAGATGTCACATGCAAGGCCCAAGGGAGCCAGAAGAATAGGCTGGGGGCAATCGTATAGGAAGCTAGCTACCTCGGATTTCCCGGTCAAGTAGAGAGGAGGCCCTAGGGCTGGGGCCGTCAGCTGAAGCAGTCCCACGAATTGCGAAGAGGGAGCGTGTAAGCTGGGCAATACCAGCTACTTACAAAGAGAAGACAGAGAATTTGATGTATCCTGGTAAGGCTCGATATATTTCCCACCGCTCCTCCCACCTTCGTGAACAAGTGAGAGCCGACGTGCATGTCAACGTTAATTTACCGAGGCAGAACTAAAAGAACGAAGTAGATTGGGGTCCAGCCTAAGACTTCTGGAGGCCAATGAGCAACGACTGGGGCGTGTGGGGGTAAGTGTGCAGACAAGTACCGAGCCCACATGCAGGTGTAGTCTGGCTGTCTGGTTGCTTCTGCGTATGCAGCAAGCTGCTTGGCTATGTGACCTTGTAAGTGGGCCAGATTGCACAAGATTTTGTAAGTGAGCAGCCCTTGAACGCTTGCAATGCAGGTCCTTGGTCACAACGAATGTCTTCCCACGGTATTGAGGCCTCTTTGCCACCTGCGTTCGGCCTTCGCAATGCTGATGGCGAGAAAAGAACGAAGGCGAGAAGGTCTAGACCGGCCTGGGCCGGGCTTGCTTCTGCCCTGCGCATCTACCCGCAACCCCGGTGCTGGTCAGTTAGTCGGTCGCCGTTGGGGCAAACTCTAACAAACCTGCTTGTCCCGTTGCGGAAGACTAGGCTCAGACACGGAGGGAGACGTGGGCAAGTGTTCTTTCTCGTGAGGAGAGACCCGTCCTGTCCAAACCCGAGCGTTAGACTACCAGCCCGTCCGCCCGCTCTGCTCGACTCAGGCTCGACTGGGCCTCACCGCACCACAGCACCTCGTCTACATCGTGATTGTAGCCCAGTCGTTTGGCAATCCTCTGTGAATCCTCTTCGTGGCTGCACATTGTGTTCGCGAGCTGGGGCGTACAGCGCACAGCTCATGAAAGGGCCGTGATGCCTCCCAAGACACCTTCATCTCCGCCCTCTGCGCCCCTCACCACTGCTTTTGCTCCCTACTATCCCAAGTGCGAGGCGGATGCACTCGAGCGGCCGCCTCTGCCGGAACGGCCACTGTGTATCCTCGACGAGGAGTTATGCAGAAAACCTCTTCTTGTATTTGATGAGCAGCTGCACGAGGCCAATTTTAACCCACGTCCAGACGGCAGTGGCAGTCCCACAGACCAACCTGATGGCTTCAGCGACCCATATCTGATGCCCTCCCTGGCGAGGAACGAGCGCCTGAGGCTGACCATGTTCTGGTACTACACCCGCGGCCTCTATGAAGATGGAGAATTCCTGCAGCTGCTGCAAGAGAAGCTGGACCTTGTGCAGACCTTCATGGGGTGGGAATTCGCGCTATTGGGCCTGGTCAGTGAAGATACCTTCACGCGTCTGGCTGCCTCCGGGTTGCCCTTGGCGGTACTTCCTCGTCGTGAGAGCACCTGCTCCCACACAATCAACCAGGAACCTAATGTAGGTGCCCTATATCTGAGATTCCATTGGCCATGCACGCTGAACCTCGAGTCAGACAGTCTTCATGTTACCTAACATGGCCAACGACTGGCGCTTCAGAGGTTCACCACCCGTGGCCCAGGGCGGCCTCCGAAGTTACGCCGGAGTACAGCTGCGGTGTCAGACCCCGACGGGTGAATACGTTGCCCTTGGATCTCTTTGTGTTGCCTCGAACTCAGAGCACGCACCCCTTACTCCCACTCAGGAAGGCGCTCTCATCCGCTTCGCAGACATGCTCGTCGCCGAAATTGTCAGCCACTCGCGACAAGAGCGCCGGCGGCAGCGCAACATCCTCGCCCGTCGCCTTGCAGAATGCCGTCTTGATGACCTCGAAGACGCCGAGACACACATATTGGACCTCATCCGCCAAGTGTATCCCTCCGCTTTTGTGGAGGTTTATGAGGCTTCTGACGACACAATCCCGCTGCCGAACCACCATCCCATCAATGCCGGCAGCGTCCAGGACGGGTTGTGGGAAGATACCGAGTACATCGATGAACTCATCAGGACGGCCAATTTCACCAAGATCAGCACATCGAGGACCGTCCGAGCTATCATCCATCCTTGCCAGAGTCATCCTCATCAGAAATTCCTCATCGTTGCCTCGAGTCACGTCCAGACCGTCTTCGACAACGTCGATTCTTGGTTCGTGGAAAAGTGCGCTACATCCCTAGCCAACATTGCCCAGGAAGGCAGCCTGAGGGAGGCCACCAGGGCAAAAGACATGTTCCTCAGAGGAATCACACATCAGCTGCGGACACCTATTCACGGTGTGCTAGCATCTTGCGAGTTGCTTACCGAAGAGCTAGCTGCCCGCAACTCGCCTGCCGGCGGGCCAGACGCATCAGCAACAAGCCCCTCGTCCATCATCGACACCATCAGAGACTCGGCAAAGGAGCTGATGACAACAGTAAATAATATTCTGAAGCTCAACCGTTGGGAAGAGACTGTCGCGTCCAGGCAACAGTTTGGGCTTCAGTCTCTCGCTCATTTGGAAGACGACATCATGCGCGAAATGAAACAGGTCGTTTCACAGCACGACCTTTCCAGGATACCAATCCTGTTCGAAAATCGCCTCGCCAACGATGGGTACATCACGATCGTGGATCCGTCTTTGCTGAAGGAATGTATTCAGTCTTTGATTTTGAATGCCTTGTCTAATGACAATGATGGCGCTGTCATCATTGTGATTGCGGCACCACCCGACAACTCGCGCCTGACATTCGATATCTTGGATGCCGGCTGCGGTATCGCACCAGCTGATCAAGGCCGCATCTTCGAAGCGTTCGAGAAGATCAACCCTCACAGCCGTGGAGCAGGGCTCGGACTGACTCGCGGCAAAGATAGCTGCCTCGATGGATGGAAATGTCTCCCTAGTTGCGTCGTCGCAGGACCCGGGCAACCACGGCTCTCACTTTCGCGCCGAGTTTTACAAACCCGTTTTCACGCATAGAAGCCTCAACCATTCACCATTATCAGCATCACTCCACCACATACCGCGCGAGTTTTACATCGCTCACGCTCCTGGCCAACGTCTTGAGTTGGTCTCACACTTCGCAAGCTTCCTGGAATACCAAGGGTTCAAACGAGCCAGCGCCCCCAATAGTTCCTTCGTTATCATCGCGTACACACCAGACACGGGCGAATTCCAGAAGCTCGTCGATTCTCTCGAGCCGGGGCAACGCTCAATCTGCTTGGCACCCGTTGGAACACGGATAATGAGACTGTTCGGAGACAAAGTTGACTTTTTTTCTGGGCCATTCGTGTCAGCACGCCTCCAGGACATACTCACAGGGACCGATAGAGCATACCAGAGACAGAATCTCAAAGATTCGATGGTACTGCCAGAAGCCCGCCCAGGGCTTGAAATCGACCTCCGCCAGATCGCCGAGCTCGAGATTGTGACGCCGCCCACGCCTCCGCCCGAGGCCGACCCGATCGCATTGCTAGTTGACGACAACTTCGTGAACCTACGCATCCTCAAGATGTATTGCGAGAAGCGCAACATCACATACAGTACGGCAATCAACGGCCAGGAGGCGGTCGAACGGTTCGAAAAGTCGCTGGAGGAGGGCCGGCCCATCAACCTCGTCCTCATGGACCTACAGATGCCCGTCTGCGACGGCATAGAAGCGACGCGGCAGATCCGCGAGGTGGAGGGGAAGAACGGGCCGGCGCTCCCGCCCAGTCGCATCTTGATGATCACGGGCCAGGACTCTGCCCAAGACAAGGCCCGATCTTTTGCAGCTGGCGTAGACGCCTTTTACGTTAAGCCGATGGGTGTGAAGGCCCTTGACCAAGGTATTGGGGAGCACTTCCCAGGATTTGCGATAAAGATCGCGCCTCTAAAGCCGGATATTGGAAAATGAGTAGCTATTCTGTAGACATGGTGTTGAGTATCCCGCTGCCAGATAATGCAGTCTCAATATCAGTAAACACTGTCTTATTTAGTCTGTATAAATTTAGGATCAAAGCCAGAGTTCCACAATATTGCTTTCACTTCCGCCCACAACTGTGCCATAAGCATTAACTAAGCACAATTTATAAATTCAAGTACAAGCTTTATTTAATACAATCTGTATATCATAGTTATATCCTTTTTTTTTTTAAAAAAAAAAAAAAGGACCAAAAAAAAAAAAAGGACAAAAAAAAAAGGAAAAAAAAAAAAAAAAAAAAAAAAACTCAACGCTAAAATTCAAAAGGGAAAAAAAGGGGAAAACCAAAAGAAAAGTCTCCGGAGCGTGACTTGAACACGCGACCTGTGGATGGCTATTACAACAATTACAGTCCATCGCTCTTCCAACTGTGACGGGGTTAGTGTGAAGACCTTGCGGTGTTTGCATGCAAGATGAAACTAACCTGAGCTATCCAGAGTTTATTGGTGATGCAATTGGCGAAATTGACCTTACATAACCTCGGTGCTTGCATGGAGCCTTAACCTACCTTGACAGCCTCTGGGCAGTCCCCCGTCTGAAAGTCAAACCCTAAGAATGGAATCCAATTGTTGGAAACATAGTGATAAATGGATAGACCTGATTGAATTTGTACCGCAGTACCTGGCGGTTCTCCTATTTGCCACGCATCAGAATGCTCAACAATACCTGGTATGTCCGTCCAATAGAATTGGTGAGAGATTTAGGCAGCGATGTGAACTCATGTAGCGCTGTCCATTCAGTTACAGGAACCCGTCATAATTTCTGTCACGTAGCCAGATTATGCAGAGATCTCCTGTGAGGTAACTGCAGAGTCGTTAAGCGAAATGCTCTACGAGGGCCCTGCCCCCAAGTAACAGATGGACTTACAACAAAGATGCTTCAACAGATCATTAATACACTTCATGGTTTCGCATTTTTTAGCCATAACAATGCAATTATTCTCATGAGATGAGTCCCTCTTAAATTTCTCTGCTTCCGCTTGTTGAGTTGTACCTCCTCGAATGACTACGAGATAAATAAGAGAAGATGGCACGCATAAGGGCCAGGACCGACGATTTTTCTGCAAGGGACTTATTTCCTCTCAAGTACTGAATGTGAATCTCATATGATCTAATTGATGCTGTTGGGGCGTTGCTTATCCAGAGAAGCAGGTTCGGTAGGACCTGCTTGTGTTGCACGCACATCCCTAACCCTGGTTTGCAACCACTTTCTGAAATGCTTAAATAGCTAAATTTCTTTTATTTCCCCCTTTTAAAATACTCTTAAGAAATCAATGCTTTTATAATTATGCTTTTAAACCCCTTATAATACTTATAGCCTTCCATAATTATAAGCTTAATTTATATAAAATAATCTTTTCTTTTTATAAGTTATAAATAAGTTATATAAAGTGCATTTTAATTATATTTATTTTATATTATTTATTTCCTTTTATTTTTAAATATATATTTATATAATAATTATAAACGCTTCTTTAAACCTTATTAATTAAGTAATTTATTTAAATATTTATTCCTTTCCTACTTAGTTTATTATATTATAATCTTATTATTAAATTAAAGAGTATTAAGAATTTATAAATTTTAATGCATTAAATATAGCTCTTATTAAATAATTAAATATAATCTTAAAATTAAATTCTTAATTTATATAATATAAAAAAAAGAAAAGAAATATTTAAAAGGCTTTATATAATAAGTATTAAGAGCATTTAAATAATAATAAGCTTTTAAAAGATAAAATAATATTTACTTTATTTTCTCCCTTATCCTTTAATAAATTAAAAAAGGAATATAATTAATATCTTTAATAATAAGTTACTTTAGCTCTTAATAAAGTAATTAAATTTAATAAAAAATAAAAAATTTAAAAATAAATATAAAAAATAATATTTAGCTTAATTCTCTCCTTATATTTAATTAAAATAATAAATATAAAATAATTCTTTATTTAATAAGTAATTTAAAATATTAAAAATAACTTTATACCCTTTAAATTAAGTATAATAAATACCCTTTAAACTTAATATTAATAATATTTAAAAAAAGCAAAAAAATTAAGTATTAAACTATAATAATAATATTAAGACTTTATAAACTTATATTTATAAGTTTATATTTATAAATTACTTAAGATTAAGGGATTTATTAATTTAAATAACTTCTTATAAGTAATTATAATATATATTACCCTTAATTAAATAATTTCTAAGCGCTAAGAATTTATTAAATAAAATATATTAAGAAATCCTATTTATTTCTTAAAAACCTTATTTAAAAAATTAGCAATACTTTTATATTATAATAAATTTATATTAGCTTTTAGGAATATTATAATATTTATTATATTAAAATTAAAAGTATCTTTTAAAATAAAAAATAATTAATTAAGAAAGTAATTAAGAAATAAAAATGCATTATCTTAATTGCATTAATAAAATAAAATATATAAATGCTTTTATTAAAAACTTAATTAATAAAAAAAATATACTTAGCTTTTTATTAATTATTACTACCTTTATTTTATATTTTTAAGGAAATAAATCTTAAAGCTAAAAATATCTTTAAGAAAACTTAAATATAATAAAATTAAAATATAATTATAAAAAAACTATTATAAGAACTTGTTATGGGCTGGCCCCAAAGGGGCTGCAGGCTGGCTAGCGCCTTCTTCCATAAGCTGCAAAAGCAGCAACTAATTAAGCCAAAAGGTATGTAATAATTTAAGCTCCCTTGGATTATCTAGCCACATTATATAAGGCTTGGGCAATAGCTTAAGCCCATTATATAGCCCCTTCCCCTAAGACCCCCTTAATATAGTAGTATAATTATCCCTAAGGCTTACCCGCGATATCGCCTTTTTAAGCTAGGAATCTTCTTTACGAAAGGGATGCCCGCGTAGTTGCGGCAAACATAACTTAAACCCTCGACCCTAAAGCTTGGATTATTTGTTATGGGCTAGCCCCAAAGGGGCTGCAGGCTGGCTAGCGCCTTCTTCCATAAGCTGCAAAAGCAGCAACCAATTAAGCCAAAAGGTACGTAATAATCCAAGCTCCCTTAGATTATCTAGCCACACTATATAAGGCTTGGGCAATAGCCCAAGCCCATCACAGAACTTAATTTAAAAGCTTACTTAAAAGAACCTTTTACTTAAAAATTAAATGTAAAGCTTATTAAAAATATTAAAAACTTTCTTAAGCGCATTTTTAAGAGCTATTAAGAAATAATATTTTAATTTTCTCTTTTTATTTTACTTTTCCTTGTAAAGTAAATTTATGCTTTTTTAAACCTTAATTTTAAAAAATTAATTAATTAATAATACTTTTATTATATTTTTATTAACTTTTTATTAATTTATTTATGCTTTAATTAATTTATTATAATTATTAATTATAATTAATTTCCTAAAAATATATATAACTTTAAATTTTATATTATATTCTTTATCCTTAAGTATAATTTTAAATAATTATAGCATTATTTACTTTATTAACTTTATTAATTATTTAATTTTAAGCATTTTTAAAAAAGCTATTAAAATAAATATTATTAAAGCAAGAACTTTATTCTTAAAGGTTTTAAGCTATAAGATAAGGCGCTTTAAAAATATATTATATAAAGTAAATAAAAAAAGAATTAAGAATTTAATCTTAGAAAATATAATAATTATAAATAAATTTTATATTAATATAATATTAAAAGCGCTTTTATAAAAATTAAGCGTTTAATATTATAAAATTAATTTAACGTTATGCTTTAAATTATTTAAATAAAGCATTATTCTTCTTAAACTTATTTAATAATATAATTTAGTTTTTCTTAAATATATATTATTATAATTTCCTTATTTTTATTTTTTATTATAAATACTTATAAGCATTATAAATATATATAAGCCTATAATTTTTTTAATAAACTTAATAAAACCTTTTAAGCTCTTTTAGTATTTAAATAAGGATTAAAAGAACTTAATAACCTTTTAATATTTTTAATTTAAATACTTAAGGATTAACGCTCTTAAATTATTAATTTAATATATTTAAGGCATAAAATTTAAGGAAATTAAATAAATTAATTATAAGAATTGCTTTAAAGCTTTTATTAAAAAGGTAGTTTAATGCGGGCCGTTAAAAGGCAAGAGCTTAAAACTTTTTTTTTAAATTTTATAAAATCTTTTTTACTATTTATAAATACTAAATGAATTAAATTATAAGCTTATAGTAATAAATAAATTCTTAAGATTTATTTATATTTTCCCTTTTATATTAAAGACTTAAGAATAAGTATTTAATACTTTTTAAGCTTATAAAAGCTAAGTAAAATAATAATATAATTTAAATATTTATAAACTTAAATAGGATGCTAAGGTTATAATAATTAGCTAACTTATAAATATTAAATATATTAAATAAATAAAACGAAAGGATATTAATTTAAAACTTACTTCCCCTTAAACCTTAAAAGCAAACAGCATTATAAAAAGGGCTAATAAAGTAATAATTAAATATGCTTTAGCTATATTATTAAGGGCTAATTTACCTTTTAACCTTTAGCTAAAAGCAATATAAATTATAGCTTAATTACATAATATATTACTTACTTTAAGGAAAAAGAGACGCGCTTTAAATACTTTTTTATATATATAGTTTTCCTATTATTTTTAATAATTTAAATTAACATAAATTCACTATTTTATAGCTTATTTATTGCCTTATTAAGGTAATATTTATGCTTATAAATGCAAAGCATATATATTTAAAAAAGAATATAAAAATAATATAAAGAAATGCCTTATAAAGGAAGAATTAAGGGCTTATATTAAGTATTTAATTAATTATATAGCGTTTAATATCTTTTAAATTTAAATTCCTTTGCTTAAGTAAATAATCTTTATAAGGAATATATAATTTAATAAGGATATATTTTATAAATTAATAATAAATAAAGTAAAAAATAGCCTTTTAATTTTTAAAGTAAAATTATTAAATATTAAAATTATTAATATTAAGAAAATTTAAGATTATATTTATATTATACCCTTAATACCTTATGCAAAAGATAACTTAATTAATTTAAATAATAAATTTAATACCTATTTTATATTAAGAAAGAATAAAACTAGCATTTTTAGTTAAAACTTAAAAGTAAGAACTTTTAAATTTAAAAGGCAAAGTTAGCCATGCACTACCTTCTTAAAAAGCTTAAGAAATTAAGAATAAGGACTTTTAATTCCTAAGAAAACCCTAAATATATTAAAATAAAGCTTTTATAAAGGGAAATATACTTTTATTAATAAAGCAAGAATTAATAAACCTAAACCTTTCTTTTAAGAATTGTATATATTTAAAGTTATAAGAAATTAGGAATTCTTTTAATTAATATAAATAAGGAAGATATAGGAATAAATTTAAGGGTTTAAATTTATAAAAAGATCTTCTTAAGTATATAATTAAAATAAACATTCTTAAGAATCCTTTAATTAATTATTATATTTAATAAATGCAATTATATTTTACTTTAATATAACTTTTTAAAATAACTTTGCAATTACTTTTTTATTTAATTAGCTTAAAAGATAAAAATAAAAAATACTTAAAAACTTATATTTTTTAACCTTAAATAATATAATAATAGCTATTATTTAAGCCTTTAAGATTAAGTTTAGGCCTTACTTAATGTAGCAATATTATAAAAATCTCCCTTTAAAACTAATTATATGGAAAAAGGCTTAAAAAAGCCCTTTTTAAAATAAATAGCTTAAGATAATGCATTAAGAAATGCAAAGCTTTATTAAGCTTAGTATTTAAAGGACTATTAAGCGCTAAAAAGCAGAATTAATGCCGCTACCCTTAAAATAAATATATAAATATAAACTTAATAAAGATAGAATAATTAAATTTTTTAAGATATAAATTTATATCTAAGGAAACCTATAACCTTATTCCATTATAAAAAGTATATATATTGCAATCCTAGCTATAAAATCATTTTGCATAATAATGGCAATTATTACGCACTTTAATTTAAAGATTTAATAATTTAATATTATAATTATATTTCTAAATATTAATTAAAAAGAGTTAAATTAAATTTATTATAAATTACTTAATAAATTTAAGGAATTAAGGAAATATAAAGTGCTTTTAAGAGTACTTTATAAACTTAAAAACTCCTTATTTCTTTAATATAAGGATTTTAGCCATATATTGCAAAATTTAAGCTTAAAATCCTTATTAAAAAAGCCATACCTTTTTATTAGCCTAACCTATAAGGTAGCAATCCTCTTTTATATAAATAATATTTTAATTATATATTTTAAGAATAAATATAAATTTTTTATAAGGATTAAAAACGGAATTAAGTTTATATATAAAATAAAAGATTAAAGGAAAGCTTAATAATTCTTAAGCATATAAATTCTTAAAAATTAAGAAAAGCATATTATAACGCTCCTTTATAATTTATATATTAAAAAGATAGCAAATAAATATAACTTATTAAAAAGCGAAAACTTTTTATTATTTACTTTAATACTTAAAAAAAAGCTTAAGCCTTTTTTTAAATAAGCCTTAAAATAAAAAATTTAAAAGTTTTAAAAAAAAGTTAATTTCATTCTTTATATAATAATTATAATACACTTAAATATAACATTTCCTTACTTTATATTATTAAGATTTCTTATAAACCTAGGTTTAAGTTACCTTAAGGCAATAAACTATGCAATTTAATATTTATATATTACTTAATTTCTTAAATTATAATTTAAAGGGAATTAAAAAGCCTAAGCGCTCTTAATAGCTAAAAACGCTTTATTTACTAATAATAAAGAGAACTAAAAATCTTCCTAAAGGTATATAATAACCCTTTTCAAGGACCCTATATATTAAAAAATATATAAATAAGTAATTATTTTTATTTTAACCATTAAAGCTAAATTATTAGCTTTAAAGCTTATAATTAAAGAAATAATAGCTTTAAAATACCTATTTAAAGATATAACCTTAAATTTAAATAAGCCTTAAATTATTTATTATAATAATTAAATAATTATATACTTAATTATTAGTAAATATAAATAGCTAAAAATAAGGCTTAAATATATAAATATTTAATAAATATAATTAAAATAAGAATTTAAAAGAAATACCTTTAATATTATATATTTAAAAATTAAAAAAATACTAATAAATAAATTTATTAAAGTTTTATTATATATTTAATTTAAATATTTTAAAGCTTTCTTAAATCTTTAAGATATAAGGAAAGTAATAAAAAGAAATTAATTTATTTATTAATTATTCTTATTATTAAGTTTTTATTAAAAATCTTAAAAACTATACTTCCTAAAAATTATAATATAACCCTTATATAAAAACTTTTTTATAATTAAAAACTACCTTTTAATCTTTATAATAATATATTAATTAATTTAAAACCTTTTTTTAATTATTATAATAACCTTTTAACTTTTTTAAAAAATTCTTTTAATTTTTAATTAAATTCTTAATTATAATTTTAAATTAAGATTTAATAATATTTATTCCTTAATATTACCCTTAAAATTAAAACGCTTAATTATAATAATAATATAATTCCTATATTTTTTTATAATTTTTATATTATTAATAACTTAATTTTAAAGCTTTTAAGCCTTTATATTAACCTTATTATATTACTTTAAAATAATTATAATTTAAGCTTTAAAATGCTTTATTATATTTTTATACCTATTTTTTATAGCTTTTATAAGCTATTATTATAAAATAAAAATCTTTTAAGTATTAAAAGGAATTATAAAAATGTAATTAATATAAGTAAAATTAAACTGCTTATACTTATATATATTTAAGGCCTTCTTTTAAGTATATTAAAACTTTTTAAGCGTTAAGAAATTGCTAAATTAAGCATAATAAAGATAAAATATAAATAATAAAAAGGATATTAAAAGCAGCTTATAAGAATTACCTTAAATGCAATAATAATAATAATTACCTTTATTATTATAATTTATATAAAAATTATTATTATAATTATATATAAAACTTTTAATGCAAAGAAAATAAGGAATATAATGTTTATTAATTTTCTTAAGCTTTTTTATATCTTCCTTTTTTTTCTTATACTTTATTTTAGCCTTTTCTTTAAAAAAGAGTTTTATTTTAAGCTTTAAGCTATTTATATATACTTAAAGGTTTTTTAAAATTATATTAAGAATTAATATATGCTTTAAAACTAATTTTTAAATTAATTAAGAAACTTACTTTTAAGTATATTATTTAATAATATTTTAATAAAAGTATTAAAACTTTTATTATTTTTATTAATAAGCTTTTTATTAATTTAAGCGCATTTATATTTCTTTTTTTAAATTTTAAAAATATAAAAAAGTAAAATAACTTAAAGCTTAAAAGCTTATTTTTTATTACTTTTAGCTATTTTTAATATAATTAAAAAAATACTTAAAATTAATAAAAGTAAGTATTTTTAAATATAAATTTAATTAAAAAGTTTAAAAAAAAGATTTAATTATTAATTATAAGCTGCATTATAAGGCTATAAATAATTAAAGTTTAAGTAATAAAGTATATATATTATAAGAAAGGTTAAATAATTAACTACTTAGCAAGCTATAGCTAATATTTTTAAGTATAAATTAATTACTTAAAAAAGTAAAATAATTAATAAGGTAAGAATTACCTTTTAATTAAGGAATATATTATATATATATTCTTAACTTTAATTTATAATTACTTTTTAAAATGCTTAAATAGCTAAATTTCTTTTATTTCCCCCTTTTAAACTACTCTTAAGAGATAAACGCTTTTACAATCATACTTTCAAACCCCTCACGACACTTGTAGCCTTCCACAGCTTGGTCCAGCCGCTCCACCTCGAGTCAAGAAATCTCCAAATGTAATCCACACTTTTTTTGCAATCACATACGGAGAGTCAAATTTCCGCATGAATAGGTGCACCTTCTTCTAAGTAGTATGTTTTTCTAAGCCGCTGGACAAACGGCGAGCAGCCATTAGGGCCTATAGGACAGCAGGTGATGATGCTAGCCTTGCCTTCAACCGCTATCCACATTTGCATTGCCGCATCGATGCGCGATTGGAAAGCTGTGTAAAGACAGCCCATCCCGGACAGGTGGGTGACAGAAGCCGTGGGCTGGAGAGATTGGACCGCCGCCGACAGTAACGTGGGCGCATCCCATTTAGCAACCCCCCTGATTTAGCCTCGCTGTTGCATTTGATCACCCCACAGGCTCATGATGTTCCTCTCTACTGACTTCTACATGATTCGGTATGGCTCTCGTACACTACTAGTGGTGCCAGCAACAGAGCTAGCCGATGCTACAGTATTATGTAGGACATCGCGTGCTGCTCTAGCCCCACATTACCATGTGTCATTGGGTAGAAATGAGAATTATGTATCAAACTAAGAGGTCATCCTTAGAAGGTTATCCCACAAGAGGGTATCCCATAGAAGAGTATCCCACAGGTGGATATCCGAGAAGACGGTATTCTACAAGAGGTTATTCCACAGAAGAGTACCCCACAGGAATTAAGAGGTTGTCACAAAGGAGGGTATCCCACAGGAGGGTGTGCCGGAGGAGGGTATCCCACAGTCAGACAACCAATTAAGCCATATCAACTACCAGGAGATGCACGCCTGTGGAAGCGGTCGGCTCTGTGACAAACTGCTGCGATCTGATCGTCAACGATTCTGATGGCCGTAAGCCCACCGCCAGCTTCCAGGAGAGCAGTGGCGTTGCCACCCTCGTCGCTTATACCTTTAACTCGGGCGAAACGTAAATAGCACCTTGTGTCGACGACCCAAGCTTGGGAAGGCTCGCTGCTGATGAGTTTCCCAACAAGACGCACAAGATCACCAGACTTGTCGCCTCCGCCGCCAGCGGAGTCTCGAAGGCCCTCACCGTCGCACCCAACTCGCTAGAATTATATAATCCACGGTATACTAAGAACCGCCATGAGTCACACGCTATGTCAGCTGTCTGTTAGCAGAGGTTGGCAACCTGCCAAATAAGATGGGGAATACTTAGGACGGGCTCCCTCTGAATGGCTCATCATCGACACAACCGGCACAGGATTAAAACATCATCAGCTTACCAAGTGCAATAAGCAGATACAGGAATGCCGCATTTACTAGTGTTGATTATTCGCATGTTATCATGTGTCAGATCCCGTTCTTGAGCACGTGGCAACTTTCATCAATGGCTGCAGTCTTGGGTCTTGATAATGTCTTCTTCAAGTCATCAAGATGTATTATGCAATGTTATAATGAAAATGGGGAGATGCAAGACCTTATGCCCTCAGTCTAGTCTCCGGGCCCAGTGCCAGAATATCCTTTCAACGATGCGCAATCCTGCATGTTATACTCAATAAAAGGGGTATCAACAAGAACTCCGTAAACCTCACCCAACCCTTCCGTATCCTCCATCGGCTCCAGGTTCGAGAAGACGGTGCCTTTCACCGGCACCGGCGCCCACTGGCCCTCATTAATAGTCGAGTTGAACAGCCGCACCATCCTGTCGCACCGCGTGCCGTTGGCGAAGATGGGCTGGTTCGTGATGTTCCGGTAGACCTCGATGGGGAACGGGTTCGAGTCCCCCTCGTCGAGCTCCGAGAACTCCAGCATGACGTACTTGCCCGAGTCGTCCGTGGCCTGGCCCTTGAAGTAGGTCGGGCCGCTGGGCAGCCGCGCGTAGGCGTCGCACCCCCGGCTCGAACTTGGTCGGGTGCACGACGGTGCCGTAGTCCCGGGAGCCGTTGATGGCGATCTCGTTGTCGGCGCTGATCATCTGGGCCATCGCCATTGTGAATGATGAGTAGCCGTCGCCGAGCAGGTCTATAAAGGGGAATGACCAGCCGAAACGCTGTTGGTGATTGTTAGAAAATCGGTGGTGTATCTTCGATCTTGGACTATGAGAATTGCTTACCTGGAAGTCCTGTACATTAATGCTGAGAGCGGCTAATTGGATGTCGTGGTCCAGCGCGGCTGTCACGAGCACGGGGTACATGTCGGCCGGGAAGTCGGGCATCAAGGCCCTGTATGCGCCCTCGAGGATGGCATGCTGCGCAGGTACGATCCTCCTCGCGGTGTCGAGAGGGATCGGCACTATTGCCATTGTTGTGTTAAGGGTCCCCGTCGGCGTGTCTGCATATTGTTGGGCGATGGGGTTTGGCTGGCTGGCGGTGGTGCATGTGTCCTGGGCGGCTATGCTCAACAGCACGGACGAGAGGAGGAGCGTTGCCAGCGCTGTGACGTGGAAGACCTTGATACCGGGCATCTTGGGCCAGAGGGTGCGGTTTGGGTGAGCCCATGTGTATAGACCGGGGGGCATCCAAGGAAAGTGGACGGTGAGGGACGGAGATGGACGGGTCAGCATGGCTTTTAAACGGCCATGTCATCTTATGCTCGGGCGCTGCTGCAAGGGCAAAAGGATGGCTGGGGCGGCGGCACACAAAGAAAGCCCGGGACCATGTGGGCACGAGGCTGCACAGAAGCAACCCTACTCGGGCCGCGCTGTCATGTTGTTTATGAAACAAAAAACGAGGAAAACAATCGGCGTCTTGGCTCCCGGATGCTAAGTACCGGATGAGCGCCGGGCGTGCAAGGCAGAGGTTGTCATGTGGGGAGGAGAGAAGGTGGGATTCCAAACATGCTAGGCCGTGCAGATCTGGTCATAAAAGGAGGATCCGAAGAGACGGGAAGGGTGGTTTCCGAGAAGAATTGTTGAAGCGCTGCTCAACGGGCGGTCCGGCCATTGGCTGAAACGTCCCTGACAGGAGCCCAAACATCACCGCCAGACCCCGCGCTTCCGTCGGGAAGGGCAAGCCTGAGGTGCCAGCGGACAAAGGAGAGTAAACAGAACGGCTTCTGCCCTTCCCGAAGGTGGGATGGGCGGGCTCGCAGGACGACAGCGCCAGCTGACTGCAGATTGTTCACATTTCCGATACTCACCTAGGTGATGTGCATTGTTCTCTAATAAGAGGGGGGGGAGGAGGGGCGGTCTGCTAGGCCGGCCTGATGGCGCGGAAGCCATGTTTACCGGCACGAGGACGCGCGACCACATCACCTAGCCTGCTTCCAATAAAGAGCCGGCAGAGCTAGCGAGTGACCTCGGGCAGGTTGGGTTCGAGCGCGGACCGAATTGTCTAACAAAGACGCAAGCGGTCCATCACGCTCGGTGTGCACATGCAGGGCGCATATGCCGCAGTGTGATGTGATGGTCAACCATGATAGTTCGCCCCCGTACGAATGACACGTCACTCGGTCTCATCGTGCAATCGTTCCCAGCGCCCGAGTCATCTCATCAGACGAGCGGCCGCAACAACTTGGCGTGGGTTGAATCGACTGCTGTCGCAGTACCGAGCTTGTCCTGCGCTCCCGTGTTGGGGGTTGCGCGGGACCCGTGGCCCCCCGGTGGCCGGCCTCTGCGGGGGAGGGGGGAGGGGGGGGCGGCCGGAACCTCTGTGTTCCGGCCTCGCGGACGGGGAATATTGAAACTTTGATTCCCAGCCCCTGGCAGGCACATATTATTAGGGTTAGTTAAGTGGTGATCTTGTTCCAACAAAGCCCATCTGAGCTGAGGAATGCGCTTAAAGGACCATTCACTGGCATGTAAAGACTGCCGTGTGTGTGTGTGTTTGTGTGTGTGTGTGCATGTGGCAGATCCCCCGCAAACAAGGCATCAACATGTGATGGATAAATTAAGGATACACACGTTCCGGAAGGTGGCACAAAAGGGGGATCAGTCCAGGCCGAGTGTGGTCTCTCTCGGCCGATACCTCTCCCGGAATGGAAGTGCTGCGCACCTGCACTCCGGGTTTAGCTGACAACCACAAGGTTTATCATCACAAAGTCAAAACCGGCACATGCAATACTCGGCAAGACTACAGCTAAATCATTCACATCGGTGCTGGCACATAAGACGTCACTCATTTATTTGCGGGATGAATTACCAGGTAAACGTTGCGGAAACCCTGAAGATCACCACTGCCATGGGATGCCTGCAAGCCACGGCCAACGAGACCAGTCTTGATAGGTCAATGTTTCAACATCCATCGATATCACCCGGGGCTGTGAGAGTAACAAGCCAACGAGTCCATTGTTGGCCATTCGTTACTTGCAGGTGCACCCTACTCAGGGACTCACGAAAAGACAATGCTGGGTTGGGAAACTCGGCTTGGGCCTCATCCTCCATAGTATGCACACATGAACACATGGAATCAGACTCGGGTTCGGTGGACAGGAACAGGGATATTTGTAAAGTCAAGACTTATCGCTCATCCCACCAATCGTAGTGCACATCCAATACCGTGGTTTCATACTCAGTGGTGATTGTGGTTGGATGGTCCAGGATACAGTTCCCATTTACACATGGCCACAAGGGCACAAGTCGGCATCGACCGTGCTAATTATGGTCAGCCTTGTCTATTGAACGCTTTCTATAAAAACATAGTTACAAAAAGCAATGCGATATGGGTATCATGCTGAGGCTCTCTTGAACTTGTGGCAGAAGACGATTCAATGGTAGTATGGGACAGGCAGCTGTGTAGATCAACTTGCCGCCTCATTTTATGCATAGTTTCTATCCATTAGTACTATTGACACACTATGGTACCTATCAATGTGTTGAGAAGGCTGGCCCTCTTATGAAATTACCGCATGTATGCATACTCGAGAGCCAAACCTTGTCACCGGGTAGGCGATGGTGCAACTGGATTGCGATAGACAAGAATGAAAAATCTGGTAGGATTGATGATGAATATTCGGATGACGTCTAACATGGTCAACCTTGGACGTCAAGTCCATTATATGGAGAGGAACAGACTCGAGTTGCACGTGGTTCCCCTGTTCTAGTTCATCTCATCTGCTTTAGGTCGAATGACAAGGCGTAAAAGAATTTGCATACCAGTAATCTGGTTATCAGATGCGAGTCAGATTGGTGACCATGCTCAGCGTTTAGGTTATGTATCTAAGGCACTCTCGAGCACCGGAGTGGATAGATGATCGGCTTTGAGGGATACTTTTACGTATCTCGTCAATCCTTCCTCTGCACCCTTGCCCCTCAAAGCAGGTTATTCTTCCAGCACTGGCTTCTCTGATTAAGTAAAAGTGAAATGTCCTAAGGCACACCAGGATTTAAGAGATGTAACACAATTCCAGTCCAGAAGTGTTTATTTGATTAAGGCTGGTGCAAGGCTGTCGTAGAACTGTGGCTAGTTTTTGTGGTTTTGAGTAGACTAGTGAGGTCGTCAGAAGACCTTGCCTTGGCAGATTAAATATCCATAGGACAACACGCTCGCTCTAATTCTCGGCTCGCAGCATGAGTCCGAGTTTGCAAGCATGGTGATATTCGTCAGCCTGGCGCTTGGGAAGCCCATCCAAACTGGATTCCGCTCATCCGGCCCGTCACCAAAAAATGTCGGCACCACTCGGCTGCACGAGACATGCGACTCATGGCCCCTGCAGGACATTCGATGCGCCCAAAAGACTATGTCCCAGCGCAATAGCGATAAGCACCTTCCTGTGCGACGAGATGGAATCATAACCCACTTTCTAAACGCGCCGTTGGTTGTTATCAACGCCTTGCGTGCTTCGTGGAACAGAAAACGCGATCACAAACTTTTCCACAAATGGATAACGATATAGGGTTTCCCAGGCTTGCGTGGCAGTAATAAGCCGCAGTGCCGTTTGTAAGACAATGAATCTGACTTATAAGTCAAAAGCGATGGAGCGTCGTGCCCAGGTAGGACGAGTTGGATCCCCCTTTGCGCGTCGTGGGACCAGTCCTTCGGAATCCGATCCGTAAGCCTCCAGACATCCGCCATGGAGAACGACGACAACGTTCAAGTCGCCAAGGAACAGCCATCTGTGTCCTCGGACAAGGCCTCGATAAGACTGGCCAAGGTCGTATCCGAAAGAGGCACGGATGAGACTTTGCAACTGCTCGAGGAGCATGGCTCCAATGTAGGCGAGTTGACGGCCGAGGCCGAAGGGAGGCTGAAGGCGAAGATTCGCAATCATATTCTGGTCCTCGTCATCATCATTGATCTCATGCTCTATGTATGTTGACCCGCATACCTTCGAAGGGGAGCCTTTAACTTACATGGCTACGGCCTTCCCAATAGATCGACAAGTCGACTCTGTCCTATGCAGCCCTCCTAGGTATATACGAGGAGACTGGAATCGATGACACCCAATACAACAATCTCAACACGCTTTTCTACGCTGGTAAGATGTTTCTTTATTCATCCAGGATCGCTTCAAACCATTGACACGTGATCTCCTTCCAGGTTATATGGTCGCCCAGATCCCAGGCCATTACCTGATGCAGAAACTCCCGCTGGGCCGGTTCGTCACCATTTCCGTATTCCTCTGGTCGGTAGTGGTCTTCCTCCACTGCACGGCCAAGAGTTATGGCGGCCTCATCCCCCTGCGATTCTTCCTCGGGTTCTTCGAGTCTTGCCTGGTTCCAGCGATGGAGGTCACTATGGGCATGTTCTTCACCCCAGTCGAAGCCGTGCGCTACCAACCACTGTTCTGGACCTCGTGCCTGGCATCCCCCATCCCAGCCGGGTTCATCGCGTACGGTCTCCTGCATATCCAGTCAAAGGACGTCCTGCCGTGTAAGCAGCTTCAGGATACAATTTTGACCCTCTCTGGAAAATCAATTTCCTATCTGTAGCCTGTACCTCAAAGGTATTGTTAGGCTGCAGGTTTGGAAACAAGCCACGGCCATACTGTGGCCTGGTCCTCCCTATATCTAGATGAAACTTCCTCCTCAGGTCTTTGTTGGCTGACTCCTTTTCCTGCAGGGAAATTTTTCATGGTCATCACCGGGGGCATCACCCTCCTCATCGCGGTATACACCTTCTTCTTCTACCCGGACAACCCCGCCAAGGCCGGCTTCCTCACCCTCGACGAGCGCGTCCACACGATCCGCCGCATCCACGCGGCGACCAAGTCGTCCATCGAGCAGAAGATGGTGAAGCGGTCCCAGATCAGCGAGACCCTCCGCGACCCCGTCTCCTGGCTCTTCTTCCTGACCGCCCTGGCCAACCAGCTCGCCAACAACCTCGCGTACCAGCAGAATCTGCTCTTCCTGGCCATTGGCGTGGACACACTCGGGTCGACGCTCGTCTCCGCCGCGGGCGGCGCCTTCGCCGTCGTGTGCTCTGTCTGCGCCTTCCTCTTCCTGCGGTTCTTCCCCGGCCACACCGCCTTCTGGGGCGCCTTCTGGTCCATGTTCGCCGTCGCGGGCGGCATCGGCATGGTTGCGATCCGATGGACCGAGAGGCTGCCGCTCCTCGCCTGCATGCTCCTTGCCGGGTCGACCTTTGGCATCACGTACATTGTCGCGCTCGGGTGGAACACGGCGACGGCGGGCGGGTACACCAAGAAGCTCATGCGGAACATGATGTGGATGGTCGGGTACAGCGTGGCGAACCTAGTAAGCCCCCAAATCTGGGCCGTGAAGGACGGGCCGCGCTACTATGGGGCGTGGATTGCGCAGATTGTGGTCAGCTGGATCGGAGCTCCGCTGTGCATGGGTGCGATTCACTTCATCCTGTCGCGGAGGAACAAGGAGCGAAGGAAGTGGATTGCGGAACAGGAGGCGTTAGGATACCGGCCCGTCGGCATGGTCCAAGTCGAAAGGGATGGGGCCACAGTACAGGTTGAGGCAGACGTTTCTCTGCTGGACCTGACGGACTTGGAGAACAAGTACTTCCTGTACCAGCTGTGACGCACGAGGGCTTTGACCGGGACGAGCAGTCTCTCCTCGTCGAGTAATAGCATCATGCAACGGAGCACACATAGAAAGACATCCCTATTTGAGATCACGAGGTCGTTCAGCCTCGAAATGCCCATTTGATTCTTGATGTGAGGGTATCATGTTTCGTACTAACTCAGCCCAGCAAGCGAACTAGGCACGATTGCGGTCTTTTGCGACCTGCGGGTCGCTTGAGGTCAAACGCGCAGAGACCAATTTCAACGCCGTGGCATGGGGGAATATAGGATCCAGGATTTTGCGAGAGATGCGGCATCTCAATTGCTGTGCGACCATTTTATCACCCAGTGCAGTCTTTGCAGATGCGATTCCATTGCATCCGGGTGCTCGTTCTTGGCAGGGCAGCTGGACTACCTGTCGATTCGCTGCACGACAAAAACGTTGCGAAGCAACCACCTGCCTGCGCTTACAGCGCACCGCCGACCAGCGAAACGATCCACATTGCAAGCCGCACCTTCAGACTGACTCTGCGCTCCGTCCTGGCAAAGTCATCCCTCGTGACTTGAGTGGCGTGTTCCTGTAGCCAGCGCTGCTCGTCACCAAGCCTCTTTTTCAGATCTTCGTTCCTCGTCAGGATCATCGCGTTGGCCTCGATATCCAGGGAGTAACTTCGTTTCGTATAATTCGAACTCCCTACCAGGCTCAGCGAGGGATTCGAGTCTGAAGGCAAGGTCACCCAGATGCCTTTGGCGTGGTACGTCCAGCCGCCTGGCTCGTTGACGCTGCCCTTTCTCCACTCCTTGAGCGTGATGGCTAGGTCCTTCTTGCGATGGTGCACGTCGTGGAGGAAATTCCTCGCGAGCAACGTGTACGCATCTGGTAACATGCCGGAAACACCTTTGGATTGATAAAAGCCGTTCGCGAAGGGGGACGCGGTGATGACAACGTTGTGGTGTGATGCCGTGGCAAGTAGGAGCTTGGTGAGTGATGGCGCTGGGTTGAAGTATCCGGCGGTGAAGGTCCAGGATGAATTGGAGTACTCGGGAGATGCAAGAGTCTTCAGAACATGCGTGAGGGCAGGTAACTCCGTCGACGTATCTGGCGACAATAGCTGTGTCATTTGTGCCAAGGGATAGACACTTGTGTCAAAGTCACCTTTCGACTCGCCTGACGGGGTTTTATCAGGTTTGATCAATCCTTTGATCAAGGAAGTGGACTGAGATACGAATTGCTTCGGGCTGTCGAGAGGAGAAGGCGCAGCATTCTCGACCGGCCAGACCTTTTCGAAGCCAGCTGCAGAGCTCGACGGTTCTATCCTGAAGCTCAGAGACGACACGGCATTGTGTAGTCCACAGAAGAAATCAGTGACGTCTTTTGAGGAGAAAAGATGGTATCGATCCTGCCGGTTCGTAAAATAATCCGTCGAGAGATTCGCCCCAGACAGAAGTATCTCGTCATCGAACCCGTACAATTTCATGTGCTGCAGTCCCCAACCCTCATTTATTCTCTTAGGTATGTACTTTTTCCGCAGACCGGTCAGGTTCGGCGTGTGGTACATCCGGATCTCGACCCTGTCTGGTCCAAACTCGTCGACAAGAGGCGCCAGGAGCGAGGCGCAAGACGGTTGTGGTGCTTCCCTTGTGCCACGCAGGGCGTCCGTCAAAATGCTCAGCTTGAGCTCTGGTTTCCTCCGCAGAGCATCTTGCAGCGTCTTTATTAACTCCCGCTCTGTCTTGCCAATGTACAGAGTCGACAGGAAGATGCGCCGTTCCGCTTTGGAGATCTTGTCCTTCAGCGTCTCGTAGAACTCGGCCGGCGTCTGCAGGATCCGAATTTGCGAGCCATTGATGGGGAACGATGGTGCGATCTTGTCGAGCTCGCTCATAAAAGGAGCGAGCATGCCTGCAGAGCTCATGGTGCTCGATGCAGGAGCCGCGCCGGCCGTGGCATACTGGCGTCGAGCTGGGACCCTCGAGAATCGGAAGTTGGGCGTGAAGGAAAAGGGCTTTCGCACCCTACCGATGCCACATCTTGTCACGGCACTCCGGGCGAGCATTGCCGCATCGGAAGCCGGGCCTTCTTTCGCGATATTGCGCTTCTCGGGAGCACAAGATGGAGGGACTCGGTGGCGGTACAGATTGGAAGGGGTCGAGGTCGGGAGGTTGAAGAGTAAAGGAGCTCTGGGCAGGGAGGCCGAGGTACGTACCCTTAGATACTGGAGCTTCGTGATTGGTTGGGGTTGGCCCACCCACCTTCGGCTTGGGACCTGCGTCAGGACGGCGGCGGTCGAACCTCGTTCAATCGCAGCACGACTCCGACCTCGTCCCACAGCCCTTGACAACTTGACGCCCATTGAATAGCAGTCAAGATGTCGACCATTACCAGGACGCTTGGCAACATCCGCCGGATCGGCCTCAAGGTAGGTGCCCCGCCACCCTCGCATCCGAGTCTCTGCTAACGCGTTCAATTGCAGGAATACTGGCACCAACTCCAGGTACGTCCTGCCCCGTTCGATCCCTCGCTGGCTTCAGATGGCGACTGACATCCGATTCTCCACAATAGTACATCGGTATGATGCGCACGGCAGATACATAGGGGTTTCATGGTTGCTGATGCTGGAGCAGGCGACACGAAGGCTGGCACTCTGGTCGGCACCGACAAGTTCGGCAACAAGTACTACGAGAACTGGACAGATGAGCTGCCTTGTATGGCCCCCAAAATACCTCCGACATGATCTTGCGAGCAGGCTGCTGATCAAAATGGCCGATAGTGCGTACACGATGGGTGGACTACAAGAAGCACGACTTTGACCCGTATGTCGAAGAGCATCCCTCCCCTCTGCAGGAATTGGAGACAAGAGACGCCAGCTGACCTCTGTCGGCGAAAACAGCGCCCAGATCGAGCCCTTCTGGCACGCATGGATCTCCTACGCCGTCGACAAGCCCCCAACGGAGGACCCCATTGCCAAGGTAGCCCGTAGCTGGGCGAAGCCTTACCACATCCCGAACTACACTGCCACGAGAGGCGCCTACAAGCCATACAACACGTATGTTGAGTCGAAGGGGTATATTGACGAATGATACTGATCGTACATAGGACGAAGCCGAAGATCGATGCCTGGCAGCCCAAGGCCATCGCGCGATGAGGAAGCGCGCACCTGCAGGGAGTAGGCACCTGTACATAGGACAATAGAGGCGATCTCGGAAAGCATTTTATTGAATCCGTTGCAAGGATACACTTGACAGTGTTCCACATTTGCGCCTCTCCACCGCCTCATTCATTGAATGCTGCAGCTGCCGGACAAGCTTCGAAGGTCTGGCCAACTAGGACGAGTCTCGGCTTCGTGATGACAATGAACATCGAGGCTGAGATGTGTCAGTGTGTATTCTGGCGAGACTAGTGTCTCATTACACAGTGAAAAGGCACCTGGGGGATGGGTTGGAGCAGCCCAAGGTCTTAGCATCGCAACTACGTGCTCCTCAGCCGATACCGTGAAGCCATAAGGTACTACCAGTAGTCATCTTGCTGTGTAATAGCTCAATCTCAGCCCTCATTGCTGGCTCAATCTCACTCATAGGAGTGCTGACCTTGACCCAGCGAGAGGGCTCCCAGCCGGGTCAGCCGAAATCTCAACTACCACAGTGTCTCCGGGGAATTTCAGTGTACCCGATTTTCATTTAGGAGGATAGATGCTGGCGGCCAAAGTAGACAGACCTCGTAATAATTTGGGGCCTCAATTGTCACACCAGGAGTGGAAAACAGTGATGGAAGTACTCACCTGCGAAGTTAGGATGGAGAGCCTTACACATGCTGTTCTTGTGCCACCAACCATCTCAAGATGCATGTGCAAATGATGAACAAATTTTCTTCGCCGCCACTCGTGACTGTTCTTGCTCAAGTGTGGTACGATTGTGGGCAGTCACCAACCAATGGCATCGCCCCGTCCCTCACCTCCATCCGATCTCTGTTGCCAACTCCTTAATCACCGTGCTCTTTCGCTTGACTATGAACGCTTCCGATCTGGCCTTGCCAGCTCAAATCGATAACTCTTATCTGAGAACAAGGGGATTCTCATATTGCTCCTTCGTTCGACAGCGATAATGAGTTCCTCACTTTATCAGCAGCAAATACTTGCTCTTACTTCAGGTAAGATTGGGAAGATGCTCAGGAACCCCATTCTAAGTGTGGTCGATTTCATCAAGGCGAAAATCCAGAGGATCCAAGAGCACAAAAGCTATGGCCTCCACCTCATTGCCTGCCATCATCTCTGTTGCGTCCGAAGCAAAGATGCTGGAACTTGCCGAGCAGCTGGGTAGAGACTTGGCAGAAAAAAAGCCTCGTGGTCCCCTATATGGAATCGCGATAGTCGTCAAGGTTCGTGCTGGTAGTGAATCACATTTCTTTTCAGTTGTCTCTTGACGATTCTTGGCCAGGACTGTTTCGCCACTCATCCGGATCTAGGCATGACTACCAGTGCAGGAAGCTATGCGTTCTTGCAAAACCAGCTTATTATGAACGTCCCTGTCCTGTAGAAGGTGCCAGAGAGCTGCCTTCACGAGCCTTTATCAACCGTCACTGATCTCGAGGGCAAGGTCAGTCGCCGTTCGGAATGGCCTTCCTTGCAAATGCAGGAGGAGAGGGGCCGAATGTCAAAGTTATGACGGCTTACAAAGCCAACTTCCCTTCTCGTGTTGTCCCGGAACCCTGCCAGTGATACTTTAACACCTAGCTGGGTATTCTCATTGGCGGCGACGGCATAGTAGCTTGGAAGCCCGATGTTCTGGCTCTGTCGGGGTTGGGCAACCAGAAGAAGCCATGTGAGCTAAGGACTACGTCTCCTTGAACAATACAAGATGTGGAATGTCTGGGAAAATTGTTCATCGTGGTATTGGAACCGATTCAAGTACCAAATCATCTTTATCATATTTCCACGCCAACGTTCTCTTCTCTGCTTCCCGACGCGATCATCAACCAGCATTTGTATATACATTTACTTGGCTCCTAATCGGCTACCTGGACCAATCTCCTACAAGTTTCTAACAGCAAATACTCTCCCCCAACGTGAACTTATGGTGGCACGGCGGCCATGCCCACGCTAGACAACGCAACTGTGGGTGAAAACCAAACTCTGTTGCTTTGAGAGTGAGAAGGAAAAAGTACGACTGCCCTGTACACTATATAATGCAAATGTACTGCACAGTCATACCACTCCGGAACTTCTCCGTCGTACACTTGTCGTGACTCCTTGCCTATTCACGGTTCAACTCTCCACAGACACAGCCCGGCTTACGCGAAAGGTCAAGTATCTCAGAAGAAATGTGACTTGGGTCGAGATACTCGACTGACCTCGAGATGTAGGACGCGGTGGCATGGAGTGTCAAGCAGAGAATTTTTGTATGTATATGCAGGTTCAAGGGATGGCCATCAGGTCTAGGAGTTAGTGGGAGAAGAAAAGTTGAAGAATAGGGAGGCTGAGTCGACACAAGATGTGGCGGACGAGGAGCAGGTGATACAGAGTGCGATGGATCATCTATGCTCCAATACCTAGAAAGTCTCGTTGGTGATTCTGGCCCGTTAGCTGCAGGGGAACGTCGCTCGTTCCTTGTTACGATTACGAAATGTCTATAAACCACTAAAGTCAAGACATGACAGTTGCAAAAGAGGCAGCCTCAATCCCAAATTGGCTCCCATGATTTTCCACGTGGTAACGTATCTGTTGGCAAGTACGACCCTCGTCACTTGGGAGGCTACTTTAGTTATCCCCTCTAGGGCACATAGCCTTTTAAAACTTAGATAGAACAACATTAATACATAATTGCTTCCCATATAATTATTATATGTATAAGAAACTTATTAATATTAATTAATAATTATAAGTATTATAAATTAATAAAATAAAAAAGGCAACTTTATAAGGATTTCCCTAACTTAAAAATTATATTCTTCTTATTAATAAGCACTATATAATAATAACTACTTTTTTAAGCCTCCTTGCATTATTAAACTCCCTAAGCAGATATTATAAAGATTAAATAAACTAAGTAGCATTTCTTATAATATTTATATATATATTTATTATTATTTAAGAAATATATATTTATTATATATAAAACTTTATTAAAAATAAACCTATTTTTAAATCCTTTTTAAGATTTAGCAAAACTTAATAAAGCTTTATTTTATTAATAAATAAAGCTTATAATTATTATAATTACTAAATAAATAAAGCTTATAATTATTATAATTATTAAAGCTAATGCAATGCTATATTATAAATAAGCGTAAATTATGCATTATACTTTTAATTAATATAAAAGGATTTAATAATAAAAAAAAGCCCTAGCTTTTAAAGCTTAAAGGAATTAATAATTTTTTCCTTTTAATAATTATAACTTACTTATTATTAAACTATTATTATTAACTTACTTTTAAATATTACTTATTTTATTAATATTTCTTTATTTTATTAATTTTACTTTTTATAATATTTGCTATAAAAACTTATAAGCATAGCTAATAATATTAAAAAGCTATTAGCTTTTATTAAAAAATATATAATTAATAAAATGCTTGCTTAAACTTTAATTAACTTAATTTATTATAAATATATTAATTTAAAACTATAATTTATAGCCCTTATATAAAAAGTATTAATAAAATACTTAATTACCTACTTAATAAGTACTTTAGCAAGTTATATATAATAAAATCTTTATAATAATAACTTTTTTATTACTTATTATAAAAACTATATAATATAAATATAAGCAATATTTAAAGCATTATTAAATCCTTATTAATAATGCTTAAAAGTCTTTTTTTAAATGTAAGGTATTTATATAAGATATAATAATTAACTTATAGCATTATAGTTAATTATTATAGCTTAAGCTAAGGAAAGATTAAAATAAATTAATAATAAGCTTTATAATGCTTTATTAGCCTTAAAATTAAATATAAATAAATATTATATATAATTTTAAAAATAATAATTATAAGTATAGCCCTTATAAGAGCTATAGGTAAGCTTTAAATAATAATAATTGCTAAAAGGATAATCCCTAGGATAATATTTATTATTACCGCTAGCTTTAAGCGCGTAATTATAAAACTTAAACCTAGTAATATAATTTATTAAAAATTAATATAGTTAGCAAGGCTTATTATTATTAGCGGAAAGATAAAAATAAAGCTTATATTAAAGATATATATTATATTTAATATAACCTTAAGCTACCCTAGGAATGCCTTTTCCGCTAAATAAGAAGTATAACCTATATAAAACTCTTCCCTTATAATATATTCTTAATAAATACTTAAATTTAATAAAGTTAATATAATTTATAAAAATCTTTAATAATTCTTATAAGTATATTAAGAATCTATATAACTTGCTAAATAATAAAATAAAAATGTTTTTTAATATTTATTATTATATTAAAATTTAGTTAAATTAATTTTATGCAATTTTTCCTTAAATGCTTAAAGATTAAATTAAGGCTTATTATCTTTATTTTATAAATTAAATTAATATATTTATAATAATATACTTTAAAATTAAAATACATTTTAATATAAACCTTAATTATTAGCATTATTATATAAATTAAATAATAATAATATTTATAAAAATAAAAGTATAAAACTTAAATAAAAACTTATATAAGGTTTTATATTTAATGCTTAATAAGTTATAACTTTATTAATAAGCATTAAGCTAAGATTATGCTAAAAAGAATAACTTAAGAATAATAATAATTAAAGCTTATAAAGGAGTTCTTAAGTTAAAAATAGCTCTTTTTAAGCTAGCTTAACTATATAAAGAATTATTTTTAAATTTAAGATTTATAATAAAAATATAGCTTAGCTATATAATTATAATTTATATTATAAATAAAGTTTTAAATTAATATTATATTAATTATAAATATAATAGCTAAAAGTTAAGAAAAGAATAATAATTATAGTTTTAAGCATTTTAAGGAAATTAAAGGTTTAATTAATTAAATTTAAGCTATTTAAGCTTTAATTAGCTAAAATCTTATAATATTAGCTATAAAGCTTAAAGTAATAATGCTTATAAAAAAGAAAAAGAATAACCTTAAAAGAAAAGATATTATATTTATAAGAAAAAGGAATGTTAAT